ATTTTTCCAAGAATTTCCCCTGATGCTTAGGTTTGCAAAATTTTCCCCACACGGCCGTACGCGCACACGGGTAGATTCTGCACCTCTGCTGGACGCGGCCGGTTCCGAGTAGTTCCGATCAATTCCTGCCTGAAAGCACCGGAACTTGGCAGGAATCCGCCGGAAAAGTCCGGTCGTATTTTTGACCGGAATACTGCTTCCATGTTCCAACGATTTCCCGTGTTTTCCTGCTAGATATGGCGACTTTACCGCTTATTCCCTGGAGTATCCTACGGGATCCGGTGACCGGAATGTTCGACCTGGATAGGTAAGTGAGGGTATGTGTGCTTAGGTAAAAAGTTATTAAGCTCATACAATTAAAGTATGACTTACTTTTTGGTAAATGGTGTTATTCACCTTATGAACTGAATAAAATTTTCTTTAAGCTTGAGGATGTAGATGTGTGTTTGGATTTGGAAATAAGTGAAACATAGTCATATGCACACCCACAACTACACCCTCTTCTTCAAAAAGAAAATCTTTTATTTTCTCTTGTGTTATTCCAGAACAGTAAAATAATCGATTCCATCGGTGCAATAAATGATACTGTTTGATTTATATTTTATTTTTCCATTTTATATGATTATTTCAAAATGAAATATTTTTTATGTGTGTGCGTTTTGTTTTTCTACAAAAAATTGAAACTATTAAAAATTACGCTAATCAGTTTTGATTGGATTTATTAATCAAGAAAAACTAGTTAAAATTATGTAAAAATAAGTATTTGCTTTTCTTTTGTTTTTGTTTGTGGTAAACAACGAATTTTTATATTAGATAAGAAGGTTGAACAGGAAAGGTATGCGTGAAAGTATATGTTTGCGACTTTATTAAAAGAAGTGATAAGAATCTTTAGTGTGTAGATATCCGAAAGTGATAAATACACCTTTTTGTTTTTCTTGAATGACATAAACAGAAAACAACGATTGCGTAATCTTAGAAAATGTATTTTAGATAATTGATATGAAAATATCATGAAATCATTTATGGATATTACATATTCTATTTCAGTTATTTCTTTCTTATGAGCAAACACAAATAATCAAACATAATCTATCAGATCCATTAGGCACGGAGCAGGTTTATTTGACGATTAGCAATACAAATTATTCAGATGTAATTTCGTTTATATATAATGCCATAGCATGTGAATGTTGTGATTTTGATTAGTTAGCAATTGGTATTCAAATGAATACAAGTCAAACTCTAACGATTACTACGAGATATGCATTTGATTTTCAACTTCTAGCAGAAATAATAAATAAAACATTACTATGTCAAATGGAATCATATAAATTTTCTGAACATGGTTCGTATTTATTTTGAAGTCGTGCAAATAAATCAAAGTGAAGTTTTTGGTACAATAACTCGAACGAAAGAATCAAGTTATTAGTGGCTACCTATAATAATTGCAATAATTATTCTCTTTATTCAACTATGCCGTTGCCTTTCTGAGTCTCGATATATTGGTCGAATTTTGACAAATATTGCTTATCGACGATTAATTAATGATAGGATTGATGATACACCAATAATAAATCCAATAACACATAGACAAGAACCATCGACAATAACTAATGAAACTCATAGTTATGATATTTATATTATAACAAATAGTCAAGTGTCATTGGTTGAATTTTCTCAAATATCAAATAAAGTTTTATCGAAACATCTTCACTCATTGGATACGTTTCGACGATTTTCATTGACAGTAATGAATTTTTTTCTAATTATGGCGGTCAGAATATTTCATCAATGTATTTTTCTCTTCATATTTCTATATGTTAAAAAGGTGGTAGTTATTGGTCTTTTAGATATTCGATTAAGGTTTTTTTCTTACACTATATTTCTGAGATTGTTTTTTTTTGTCTTTCATAGTTTGAAATGGTTTAACTCTTTCTGATTTGATTTTTCATTTGTTTGTTTGGATGATAGATATTTCGATTGTTCTTTCTTAACGATCACTTCTAAAGAAGTAAGGATTAAAAAAAAGGTATTTTAGTGAAAATCTGTAGACGAACTTTCATATTATTTCTCTTGGGTACGTCACAAGAAAATAGAAGATATTTTTCTATTGAGTATCTTTAATTGAAAAATGTTTGTAGGTATAATTTTGGACAGTGGAAATGGAAAACTAAAAGATGCTTGAATTTTAGATAGTTTTCAATGTTTAGCATTATGTTATTTTTTTACTGCTATAATTGTACTTATTTTTGATGCTTCTGAAAATGAATTAAATTCATCCGAGTAGCCGACTAGTACAGAAAAAATAAATTTTAATTTTTAAATTATATCAAGTTAACTTGTTCAGATGATAATGTGCATCAACCAATACGACAGGAATTATCAAATACAGTATTTCAATTCTGCAAGTCTTGCAGCGTGTCGTCTACTTTCCTGAATTTTTATAATTTATTTCTATAGAAGTAGGTTTGCATAATCACCCTCTTTCCTGTTATTCTACTCAATGTATATCTTTGATTTATTTGCAATAAATTTATGTTTGCTTTTCTTTCTGAATCTTTAAGATATTTTGGAACAAGGATTGAGTGATCAATTCACTAATCATGGGAAAATTCTTGGAAAACTTCCAGATTTTGGTTCAGTTCAAATGTCAAGATGTGCATTATCCTCTCTTCAAGAATACAGTTGTGGACGTGATTTGATCTGTCTTGCATCAATTTTGAGTGTTTTGAATACAACAACAATATTTAAAAGTTCACCATCAAGTTTTAAAAGTCCAGATGGAGATTTTATGACATTATTAAATATAATGAATGAAGCTTTATTAGTTAAACAATCTGTTCCGGCATAACAATTTCGATTAGAACGTTTTTGTGAAGCAAAAGGTTTAATGGCTATAAAACATATTATTGCACAAGCATTAAGGCGTTATACAAATTTACAAAATGCATTTAATCTTCTAACAGAATTTAGTGAACAAGCTCAAAAAACGCGTGGCGTATGGGAACTTATTGCTAAATCATTAATATCTGGATACAATGAAAATGTTTTCATATCAATGAAAGAACTACAAGATAGAGTTCATCAGTTTATGCAATATAAAGATCGAAATGATATTGCTGTTATAGATTCACAATCAACATTAGCACGGCATTTCAATGAATTACCAGTATCACTTGTTTTAGCACGTGATATTCGTTACCTAAGCGCTGTTCGTTCAACAGCTATTCTTTCATTTATTGGAGAAATAAAACCAGAATGGATTGATTATAATCTTAAACGACAAATTCATTTAATTGATGAAGAAGAAATTCATTTAAATACAAATAATAAATTTTCAAATGCTATATCAAAATTTTCAAATAAAATCAATATGTTATTAAATAATCATAGTGTTTCATTAATAGGTTCAGTTGGTGTTGTTTTAAATGCTGAATTACATCTTAGACAAGATATGATATCAGAATATACGTTTAGTTTAGAAAATAAAAATCCTCCAAAGTCTAGTTTATATGATAATTTATCCAGAAATTTAGAAAGTGTTATGAAAATGACAAGAATATTTAGACCTATGATATGGAGATGGCAAAATCAAAGACAAGTTAAAATAACTGTTGATTCTGATACAGCTACTAAAACTTGTGAAGCTACTGTTGTTGGAAGAAATTCAGATATTAAAAAAGTTAAAGAAGAATTTGATTCTTTCTTAGGATGGTTACAAAAAATTGTGCTGTTATTAGACATCCAAATGGAGGTAAATTTTATTTTATTATTTTCTAATTTCTGACTCACTTTGTGATCTAAATAGATCTTTTTAAGAACATCTTTTCATGGTAAATGAACTCATATTTTACCGATTTTGTGCCAATGGGTAAAGCTTTAGATCAGAAACGAAAGATAGATAGAGTTAGACTGATTGAAGACAGATATCTTGCATTCTCTTAGATTTAATAAAGTAATACATTAGAAAAATTGTTGTGAAATACGAAAGAGTAAGACATAATACACTTAGACTTATTCTTAACTTTTGTCCGAGCAAGTCCGTTGGTTCAGGTAAGCTCAAATCTCAGCCCCCATCATTCTGAAAAAGTTTTACGTACTCTAGCGAAACTGAAAGATTTTCTTATTTCTTTTTCTCAATAATCGCTTTCTGAATCCTTGATGGCCTCAGGATACATCTCTTTGCCACTAATAGTATTCGATTTCTCCATAGTTTCTTTTGAAATAAAAACTTATAACTAAAATTGAATAAATCTTTTTGATAATAATTCATATATTGTCCATACTTAGGTGTAGCTCCACGTGTACTTCATCCGCAAATGCGTAAAGATTGTTATGATATAGAAGAAAGAATTAGTCGTATAACAGATAGTAAACGAACATTAACTGATTTATATAACGGTGCTAAAGGTTCAAAAGCAACTCGTGAAACACGAATGGAAGTTGTTGCTTGGATTGCTGTTTGTAAATTTGATTGCAAATTAGAAGGCGATTTTGTCCGCGATTGGGCTGTCGGAAATTATACATCAAAACCAACTAATAACCCAAATAGTTGGGTTCAATATGCTCTAAATAAAAAAGGTGACAATATTCCATATATTGAAAAAGAAGTTGTTCCAGGTGACTTAGATTGCCATTTACCATCACATAGATATTTCGATGTTGATAAATTTCAAGATGAACTTTATAAATTTGATATTCAATGTAAAGTTTTTCGAGAAAATTGGAGATATGCTATTTTAATTGATGAAAATACTCGTACAGGACCATTTACGATGGATTTAATTGAACCACATGCTGCATTAATGCACGATAGAATTGATTTTGATGCTAATAATTTATCAATAGAAAAAGATTTTACACGTGATTTAGCTATGCGTGTTAATATACAATAAAAGCCATATTGTATTGAACTTGAAACAGTTGTTGATAATATTAAAAATAAACGTTTTCAAATTCTTCGCCCAATTGATAGTCAAGTTCAAGAGAGAATTGATAGAATGACAAAGATTCGAGGTTGGACACAACATGGACAACTATTTTCAGTTATACCTGAACCACCGCCTAAATATTATACATTACTTATACCATTACCTTCATCAACAAATTTATATAAAGGCTTAGAACAATAAATGAAAATAATTTCAAATTCATTAAAAATTATATCTATTGATCAAATTAAAAATCCTTTTCTAGAAGATGCATATAAAACTATAAAAAAAATTATTTCTAAACAATGTTCAGCATCTAATCCAAATGAACGTTTACTCTTTCATGGAACAAGTTTACTTGGAATTATTGGAATTACAGAAGATGGTTTTGATGATCGATTTTTCAATGCAGGTGGAGCATGGGGTTAGTACCATATTAGACTATAGCTATTTACTTGAGTTTCCCCTCGAATACTAACTTTACTCTTGTTAATTACTTTCAAAGTACATAGAACATTAAATTCAAACATTCAGTTTTGACTTTGAGTAAAATCATTTTCATTTAATTCATAGAACAGAAATGAAAAGAAAAAATACTCCTAACTTTCTTTATACGACGCTACTACTGCCGCTTTAGTGGCAGATTATTTCATAGAGTTAGCATGATATCGGGCAGGTCATCCTAGATAAACAGGTATTAGTGACTAATAAAACAGTACAGAAGAACCTCTCTATGTGCCCACCTTTAGCAACGACTTAAGAATTTTTCCCTGTAGCACCGCCACTATTAGGAACCCTCAGAAATGGTATTTGATTTGTAGACCTGAGCATTTTCGTATAGAAGTTTTGGATTCGACATATGTATCGTTTTGATAGATTTAATCGAAAATTTTTTTCTATTTTACGCTGCTGAGCTTCATAGAATGAGAATTGACAAATAAAAAACAGTATTCATTTTTTAATTGTGATTTTAAAAAAGGCTGCCGCGCAGCAAGTTAGAAGATCTTTAGTGGTTGCTAAAATAAATCTGATAAATTGTATGTTTCAATACGATAAACTACAGAACCCAGTGTACGACTCGGCTTGACTTATATATGCTTTCCTTTTATGCCATATCGATTTATTCGAAATTATTTCTTATTTAATTTATGAAAACCATAATTATTCAATAAAAATAAATATGATGATTTAGGCTACGGATCATATTTTGCTGATAATCCTCGAAAATCCCATGGTTTCACAGCTCTTGATGTAACAGATCAAACTCGTGTTATGTTTTACAGTAAAGTTTTGTTGGGTAAAGAATCAATACAAAATACAACAAATAATGCATTAGTTTCGGCTCCACAAGGTCATCCTTCGGTCCGTGGAACAGCATTTCAATATGCGGAATATATTGTCTATCGCTATGGGCAAGCTTTACCATATTTAAAGATTGTTTATAAAGATTGATTCTTGAAAATTTCTTTTTCTAATATTCAACAAACCTACAATTTCATTTTCATTTCTTTTAAATTATAATCTAGATCTCGTTTTTTTAAATAATGTGTCTACTCTTATTATTTTTAAAGATTATTCTAATAAAATTTTAAAAGCATAATATTTTTCATATCTTTTAATTTAATTATCAATCAACATCACTTCTTGAAGTATAATTCTTATATTGTTTAATGTTCCTAAAAAGAATTCATATCCTTAAGTTATTGCTACGCACATACTGTTTTTTACGATATATTGTAAAACACGATCTAAAACGAGAAGGGTGTGGGTGTGTTTTGAAGCATACACTCTAAAAAAATAGGTACTCTACCAAACCTAAAAAAGGATCTTCCGCCGGGCACACTAGAGTGTGTGGATGTGTGGGTGTTTTCTTCTAAAGCCACCCCCATCCCCACCCCCACACCCACCCTGTTCTATTTGTTTAGGAGATTTTAATATATCAGATATACTTTTACACTTGACATGTTAACATATTTATCATCATGAATGTCTTCTTCATTGGCTACAAACACATTATCGTTGTTCATATTGTTAATATCTTGTTTATCGACAACCTGTAACATCGCATACTTTTCTTATACGACAAACAATTACACAGACTTTCTTCATGTCATTGTCATTTATTACAAGCCAAAATATTGTTTTATTCTTTTTTGTATGATACATAGAGAATAAAAGAGATTAGTTTAATAAAACAAAGATCCTTGGAGTATTTTTCTTAATTGTTAACATGATTTTTTTTCTTGTGGTCACGTAGACTGTTCTTAATTTTTAGGAATTTACATCAAATTCAATCGTTTGAATGTTCTGAGATTTCATAAAATGCTCTGAATATATTGAGAGACCATTGTGACCTTCAAATTTTTATACGATTTAGAAGATAATGTTAATGGACGGATAGAAATAAAATGCTTTCTATTAATTTTCTTCATTAGCAAATAGATACAATTCAATTTTCGAGGAATTCTAATTTAACTTCGGCGAATAACATGTCGTCGGATAGTTTTACTTTGTTATTTTGAATAACAACACCACATTTCATTCGATAAAAGCAATACTTATTTTCTGCATTTTGATTCGAGAACACATTGGCATACAAGATTGAAGAACCAAATGTAACTCACTGCGTAGATTCTGAAACAGAACGATCGACCACGCGTTCGTTGGCTCTTTTTCTCTCTTTAATAGAAGTTAAAAATTTTCATTCTTCTTTTATAAATATTCAGTAATAGTAAAAGGTGCAAGCAAACACGTATGTAAGTAAGCTGTGCTGAGTTGCTTAGAATTTTTTTTCGAGCATAGATAAACTTAATGGTGTACCCGAAGAGGAAGTAAATGGATAGTTGCCCATTGAGGTTTTATTTATTTATTAGATCTTTTTCACGGTCAGTTCAACAAATTGAATATTTTTATGTCACAGAAAATTATATTAAACAATGTAACTAGTCTTCATATTGGTTCTGTCATATAATAAATATCTATTTTTTTATGGCGCCATCTTTAATAAAAAAATCAAACTCTCGAAAACGGAGCAAAATTGATGGATGTGGCTGGTACCGGCGTTTTCAGTGCGCTTAACCGAACCGTTTATCATCCTTTTGGTTTTCGTATGTGAATTTTAAAAATAAATTTACGTTTAAAAGAATCGTATTTCATTTTTCTCTATGTGACCGATCGATACTTTGCTGAGGCAAAAGAATTTTTAGTACATTAGTAAAAACTTTGTCCGAGTCTTTCTTCCGATACAAGAGAAAGTTATTCATTGAACTGAAAATCTTGATTACGCCGCTCGAACTAAATGAATGGATAATATGCAAAGTGATTGACTATTTCCACTAGGCAACTCTGAAACAAATCGAATGCTGCTGAGCATGGGGAACTACAAAATAGAAGAATCTTCTCCGATCGAAGAATACGATAATATCACATCCTCTTTACGAGATTATACGGTGATCTGTAACCATCGATCTGTATTCTCCAATAGTGATTACCCCTGTCGTTAAGATTAAATAAACTGAAACTTTACTGTGTACCTTCATCCACCTGATCACCCTCTTAATGATAGTCACGGATCTGTGTCAAATAATCGAAAACTAGATAGTAAAGAGAGACAAGACATGTCATACTGAACGATCGATCTTGTAGGATTTTCATTGGAAATAGTTTTTATCCTCGACCATCATATGCAGACACCTCTATTCATAAACTATGACCGAAATACATGCTAGTTGTAATTGGTAGGGACACTATTCGTCAAAATCATTGATACAGTTTTGCATGTCGTTTCTATTTAATACTACTGCAATTGAAGTTGACAGTTTTACATTTTCTAGTTCGTCTATCTACGGCGCAATTTATTTCATCTCGTTCTCATCAAATGTTTTCCAAGTACGAACTCTCCCTATTTTCGACACAATGGATCGATGGATCAGAAGGGATATTTATTCGAAGCGGATTAGCATTGATTGCCATTGGCACTACCGGATATGTTTTAAACAAAGTAAAAGCGAATATCTTAAACATTCTTCTTTTTTTAATTTTACTTGATGACAGGTATTTAATAGCCCACCTGTCATAAACTCATCCGAGGAAAGTCCTGCAACCAATGGTATGATAAGAAATCGAGTCTATTCTACTGCAGTCAAAGAACATCTTCGTGCGACTTATGCACACTTTGCCGGTGGTTTGATGATGGTGGGTGGTTTTGCTTACCTTTTCCATCGTTGTAGATGGTCCGTGCAATTGTTTGAACTGAACAGGTGGGTATCCACTGGTGCAATTCTACTCCTCAGTATTGGATCTAGTGTCGCAACTAGACTGATCGACCAACATCAGTATCCAGTGCTGAAATACACCGCATGGAGTTTGTTTAATAGCTGGCTTGCATTATCTTTATCGCCACTTTGCTATTTGGATGTAAGACTACTCGCTCACGCTTGTCTTTTGACTGCGAGCACTGTCGTTTCAATCAGTGCTATTGGTATGACCACTCGGCGAGAGAACTATCTCTGGTTAGGAGCTCCATTATGTAAGTTTTCAATGAATTTTTCACTAGGTGACGTGTGCGTGCGTTTTAGTGGCTGGTGTTAGTGTAGTTTGTCTAGCATCGATTAGTCCACTAATTCTACCGGCTATTGCGATTGGAACTTTGTCATTATCGGAGTTTATATCATTGAACGGTGGTCTTGTAGTCTTCACTGGCGCTCTTCTATCTGACATGCAAAAAATGATTGATAATGCTGAGAGCGCTCAGGATGTTCAAACATTATCGCCTACTGATCAATCTATCGATATTTATCTCGATGCCATCCATATCTTCGTTCGTATCTTGTCTGTTATTATTGAGAATGAGAAAAGAAAAAAGGAACACTCAGCTTTGAACAGCAAAACAGAATAGCATCAACTCGCAGACATCGTCAGCAAATATAGCATTGGTCGTTTGATTTTTAACTTATAATACTGATTTTCTTTCCTGAATAGCTTGATAAGAATTCATGTTAATATTCATTCTAAGTTTCAAAGAGAAAGATCCCATGTAATAAAAACCGCATGAAAATCGGCGGTTAACCGCGGTTTTACCGGTCCGGTTACCGGCTCTCATTATCGCAGAACGGATAAATACCGCGGTTACTGCTAAAAAAAAGCGGTTAACCGGTTCATCTATAATTTTTGACAGAAAAAGTCTTCCAAATCATCAATTAAACTATTTTAAAGATCCTTTTTTTTTACTTTTG